GTCTCCCATTTGGCGAAATCTGTTGGCTCAATGACCCCTTGTTTTAACAGTTTATCCAATTCCGCATCTAGTTTTGGTCGAATAGCGAATGGGACCCTACGCGGTTTTAGCCTGATTGGGACTGCCTGGGGGTCGACTGAGAATGAGATAGGGGTACCGTTATAACACCCCAGCTCATCGCTGAATACATCTGAGTAATCAGCGAATAAGGAGTCAGTGTCAGAGGTTGAGACAGCATGGACTCCTGTTAGCCCTAGGCCGAGATGGGGAAACCAATCGAGCCCCAATAATGTGGGAAGATTGCCGTTAACTACCACTAGAGGTAGGTGACCTTTAAAAGCTTTAAAATTGACAAGGAACTTGCCTCTGCCGATTACGGGAATGCTTCTCCCCTGGTAGTCCTTCAGGCTGAACTGGCACTTCTGGAGCCGGCTAGTTGATAGGCTGGGCTGAAGCCTCTTGAGGGTGTTCCACGAGATAATTGAGAGCGCTGACCCTGTGTCAACCTCCATGCGGCACGGTTTACCTTCTAACAAAACGGAGAGAGAGATTTTACTAACAGTATGGCAAGTGTGCTTGGCATGGTGGTGAGTGCGACAGTTCAATACTTGCCTCTGCGGTCCAGAGTGAGAGAAGGGGGGGTGCCTTTGTGCTGAGTTTTGAGAGGCTTGGCAGACTCTCGCGATGTGCCCCCTTTTATGGCAGGTATTGCAGGTGGCTCCTTTGAATTTGCAGGTAGCCCTTGGATGAGATCCACCACAGGCTAGGCACAGTGTGATGTGCTTGGGTGGACCGATGTTTTCTTGCTTGGCTCCTACCTGCGGGTGCCTGGCGTTGGAGAGGCGGTGGACGTCGTTTTCATCACTAAGGGCTTCCTCTGCTACCACCTCCTCGGAGTGGACTGGAATTGTCGTTAGCTTGGAAGTCGGGCCATGGATTTCGGTGGCTGCTTGTGCTGCCAGTTCTGCTGCCAAGGCCTCCTCGACGGCTTGTGCGAGGTTGAGGTCCTTTTTAGCGAGGAGGCGCCTCTGAAGGTGGAGGTCCTTGACCCCACAGACTAGTTGATCGAGGAGCATGTCCTGAGGTAGGTTCCAAACCCACAATGCAGTACTGCTGTTCTGAGGGCGGCCATGTACTGATTGATGGTCTCCTTGTCTGATTGCTTCCTCATACGGAAGGTGAATCGCCTGGCAATCTGTGAAGGCCTGGGAGAATAGTGGTTAGTGAGGATTTCTAGCAGTTCAGACCAAGGAACGTTTTTCAACTCACGTGGAGCCATGAGGGCTGTGGCAGTATCGAAGACGATGGCTCCACAGTAGATCAGGAAATACGATTTTTTCCGATGCTCCCCAGCATCAGCCAGCCCGATTGCATCGATATAATGGTTAAAGCGGTTCTTGTATGATTCCCACTTCTCCTCATCCGGTTTGAACGCTGGGAAGACTGGATTGGAATTCATGCTGATGAAACCGGTAGAACAACCTGTGGACAAAATCTCTCTGGGGCAGCAGCAAAAGATTCTAGTGCCTGTGGCAGGCAAGTGATTTCAGCTCTGGAGAGGCTTTTCGCAATCCCCTCTCTCTCTCTGGGCTAGCACACGGTTTGGCTGTTAGCCGTTGGCAGCGTTTGAATTCGCGTCAGTGACTTGACTACAGCACCGCGCTGTACCTTTTAGGTTTGAAATTCAAATGACAGCCGTTTGAATTTCGCGCCTAAACAAACGAGCGGCTGCGGCTCGCAGCGCTTCACTTTTCCTGTAGCTGGGCTAACAAGCGGCTACAGACGCTTCTCACTTTCGATTCTGACCGCTCTCTCTGGCTGCGGATCAGCGTTCGCTTCTAGTGCTTGCTGACCGCTTTCTCTGTCAGCGGATCAGCGTTTGCTCTTGCTGCTTGCTGACCGCTCTATCTGGCTGCGGATCAGCGTTGCTCTTATCGCCGGCCGATCGCTCTCTCTGGCTGCGGATCGGCGGCTAGTGACTCAGCGGTTGCAAGGTGCTTCTGGTAGGAATCCCATCCTCGTCGCCAGTGTTAAGTTTGGGAAAAGAGAGGCTGAACCAGAGCATGAGTGCAACAATACTTTATTATAGTAATAAAGGACTGACCGTGCTTGCCAAGCCTGGAACTGGCTCGCAGCGATCAGCAACTGGTTGGACCCCGCAGCCTGCTTTTATAGCTGGCTGCTGGGGAGAACCAACCAATGAGTGAAGGGGAAGAACGCCCCCGCAAAGTGAATGGACCTGAGTGGGAACTCCTAGAGTTCCCAGGACGTAACACTAGCAAAACAAACTACAAACAAAACAAAAGGAGAAATGTTTCACTTTTTGCATTTCAGCATTCAAGAAGGGACAGTAAAGGAGAAAGGGAAAGACAAAGAAAAAGAAGGGAAGAGAGCAAGGAAGGAAAAGGAAGGAAAGAGGGGAAGGAAGAAGAAAGGAGAATGAAGAGGGGAGGAGAAGGAAAGGAAGGAAGGAAGGAAGTAAGGAAGGAAGGAAGGAAGGAAGGAAGGAGATTATAATGAGAGGAAGGGAGGGTCTGAAGGAAGTCCTGCCTTAGCATTTGGCCACCACAGGTACCCCTGACATGAGTGACATTGAGCTGGCCATGCCCACTCCTTCCCTCCTGAGGTCAAACACAATCCTGATGTGGCCCTCAATGAAATTGAGAATGACACCCCTGCTTTACTCAATTCCTATAGTTTTGTTCCAACATTCCAGTATATATTACGGATGTTCTCGTTTCGAGATACATATAGTCATGCTGTTATTATAGATAGTCTTTGACTTACAACCATTTGGGAGACTTTCCTCAAGCTATTTTTGAACAGAAAAGAGTTGGACCTTGTAGGTCATCTAGTCCAACCCTCCTCAAATGGGGTAGACTCCACCCCATTTCTGACAGATGGCAGTTCAGTCTCTTCTTGAAAGCTTCCAGTGATGAAGCTCCCACAATTTCTGAGGGTGAGCTGTTCCATTGATTGATTGATTGATTGATTGGTGGATTGATGACTAGAATTCAAAGTTTCAATGGCTGCCCCCCAACCTGTGGTCATGTAATCACACTTCGGGCACTCAGCAGCCAACCCACTTTATGGCCTGTGATCACATGACTGTGATACACAATGATTTTTGTCAGAAACCAGCATTTACTTCTGGTTTCCATTTAAAAAAGGCCCATTGTGGGTTCACTTAATGGTCACCGTGACTTACTTAATGAGAGATGCAAAAAAGGTCTCAGTCAAACTTACCCAAGAAGGTTGGAGAGGAATCCAAACAGTCAACAATTATCATTCCTTTTTTGAAAATTAATGTTGGATTCCTGGGCTGTTGGATTCCACTTCTGAAGGCCACATAGAGTTGGATTTAGCTACCATAATGCCCACAAGTGTTACAGGACTGACACTTTACTTAAGAGTGTGGTTCCCAGCTTTCAGTGATGAACCACCTGTCAATAGTAAGTAGAGTAGAATAGAGTAGAATAAATAGAACAGAATAGAATAGAACAGAACAGAATAGAATAGAATAGAATAGAATAGAATAGAATAGAATAGAATAGAATAGAAT